AGAATAAAAATAGTTTTTTCATCTTATAGTTGTCACATTTCATTTACATAACCCTTGAACTATCTAAATTAATAAGAAAATGTTTTCAGTAAAATTATATTTTAGCTGTTTTTTCTACACCCTAACACTATATGGGCTCAGTCTATTTGACTGGCTTTGTAATTATTGTAAAAAATAAATTTAAACTACCCTTCTTCTTTCAAGAATGATTGCATATTAAAACAAAAAAAATACAGTTATTTACTCCAAACAGCCTCAAACGTGTGATAGTTTAAATATGTTTTTATTTAGTTTTATTGTTTCTGTTAGCATTATCTAACTACCATGAACAGCAGTAAATCACACAATGTGAATGTGGGTAGTTTAAGGTAAACAGAATTTCAGGTTATTTCACACAACATTTAATTACATATGTTTTTCCTGCAATTCGCAAAGCAAAAAATATATTTAGCATTCAGGAGTGGGGACCTTTTGCTCTTCATTAACCCTAAATGTTTCTAAGATGGTTATCCCAAAAAATTATCCATGTAGCTTTCATATATGCATCTTAAAACAATAATTTATACAGTAAAACTGAATGCCCCAAAGTAATTAGAACTTATCTGGCTTTCTAGCTGACCAGTAAAAAGGTTTAAAATTTTTCATTACTTACAGAGCTATAATTTGGTCTTCACTCAGTAAAATCTGCTTGAGAAAATGGTGACTTTTAATGAAATAAATTAATATAAAGACTTCATAATCGTGCACTTGAGAAAATGGCCTTTCCATGTTTATAAACATGTATGTTTGATAAGTAAGTATGAGTAAATAAGTAATTTCAAAAACATGAAGAGGTGTAACTTCTATTGTGTGTGTGTGTAGCAAATTTATTGATATATCAGAACATAAAGATGGTGGGAGGTTCTTATTTTAAATTTTAGCCTGTCAATGTTTATAGTTGCTGTATCTGATTGATGTACATTGTGAAACCTTTGTAAGGGAAGAAAGAAAATCTAAAATGGAATTCAGAACATAGAGGCATCATGTGACATATAGAAGATAAGATTGAGAATTTATTTAATTATTTCATTTTTAAAGTAAGAAATCAAAAGTTATATAATATTAGAATTTGAATTATGATCTATGTTTTGATGCTATGTTTATTGACTTGTATTGATAATAAAGTTATTTACATTTTGAACATAACTCTAAAAATTGTTACATACATTTTGACCCACATTTGTGTATATATGGTTAAAAGGAACTTACAGACTGTGTAGATAAAACATTCAATTATGGCAGAGAAAATAATAATGTAGTTTAGTATTTAAATGATTATTGTTTACCCATCTACCACATAAACTCCAACTCTTAAAGTAACAAAAGAGAGGCTTGTAAATAAAACATACTTAAAAATCACCTGAAATGAATGCCTCTAAAACACTAGAATAAACATAAGTAAATTTTAAAAACTTACCTGTTGACTTCAGGGAAGGTTTTATTTTACATTCACTCTACAGTGAAAGCTAAATTATAATAATTAACACGGCCATTTTACTTTTTCTATATTTATTATAGTATTTATATGATATATCCACTTAGTATTGTGTTTTATTAAACTTTTCACTCTAATAATTTTGAGAATTATATAACATTATCTTCTTTCTTTCTTTTTTTTGTTATTATTAAATTCAGCTTGCAGTGCAGTTAGTTTTTAATATAATTAGGGTTGTCACTAATGTTTAGAGTATGGGAAGATTAAAATAAAAGAAGGGTCCTACCTTAGTTGGAGTAATTTCCTTCATAGGAGTACCAGGAGCCAAAATTCTATATTGGAAATTTTTGTTGTTTTCTTTTAGCAATTCAAAAAGAAACTGGTGTATTCTGATAGATTTTCAGTTGTTTTTCTCAGGGGTAATTATTGGTTTCCTGTAGTAAACTAACAAACCAGAATTTCTTAGCACAATGATATTTACTGCAGAAAATATACTACATGTTTTGACAGTACCTTGGCCTGTTTTCTTCAGGTGTGACACAAAAATAAACATGCAACTTTAAATTTTGTATAGAAAGACTATGTTAAGTGAGAATACAAGGTTCATAGATCAAAGGAATGTCACGTGAGAGTATTGAACAAGCGAGTTTTATAACTTAAAGAAATTGTAGGACTGGTCAAGCATAGGAAAGAATACTAAGTGAATAAATAAATCACGTTCTGTTATAATTTCATTATATTTTATGCATTCATGTTGCTTTTTTATTTTTGGGTTGATCTGGATGAGTAATTTTATCCTAAAGTATCCTATGACCAGTTTTGAATTGGTGACAAGTTAGGGCAGAGTTTTCTGATCCTCCTCTACATGTAGAATGGTAGTTTTTTCAAAATATTTGTCCCCCCCCCCAATAGAGTATTTATCAAACTTAAAGATAAAACTTTCTACAAAAATTCTAGTCTTTCCCTTATCAGTATCAAAAAATATGACAAGATTAATTTACCCCCTTTTTTTGTTTGAAATTACTAACGAAATAAACTGTTCTTTGGTAACTTAAAACCTGCTATATAAACAATACTTAAACTTTTCACAATATAAAGGTATCTCATGTGACTGTGATAATAAATATACTGAATTGATTGACTGTTTTATAGTTAAGCACAAAGCTCTGACCACCATAAGTATCGAAACCTGGTTTCTGGTGATACAAGTCCACAGACATACCACTTTTTTTATATTTGGGTTAAAATAGCACTACATTGTTTAAACAATTCATTTCAGCTTGTAGATCCTATTTTTTAATACAAAAATGTATAACAATTTATTAAGGTAAGATAAACAAAAAATCTTTGTGACATGATTTGGTTTTTTGTGAGGTGGAAATAGAATAGTTTTTTGCATACACTAGTAATAATTTTATCATTTATTTACATTAACATCAAAAAGGGGAGATAACTTTCAGATCATACTCCATAAGTGAAAATTATGACATTCAGTCTCATCTTATTTACAAATTAAAAAAAAATTGATAGACTATTTGTTCCATGTTGTAACCAGACTTCCAGTTTTTAAATATGTAAATTTACGTACAAAAAGTTTCTTCAATAATGGACATGTAGAGTTCACTAAGGCATCACACAAATCATAGAATTTAGTACACAAATTTTTAGTACTGGTAAACCTAGAAAATTATAGTTTTTATAACAATGTTCTGTACCCTTGTGCTTATCTCAATTTCTCAAAAAATTACCTCAAGAAAATATGGCTTGTAAGATCAGAAATATGTTTATTTGGGAATAGTGATTATTAAAAAAGTGAAATAAATAAATTTAAGATTAAGTATAGTAAAATAAAGTGTCATAAACCTAACTGCTGTTTGTGAAACATTCAAATAGTTGCCATTATAGACATTATAAATAATTAGAGCTGAACGATTAACTTAATTAATCGATATAATAAATTATTTATAAGCATCACTTTACAAAATTCTAGGTTATTGATGAAAAGAAAAAGTCAGTGAGTTGTGATGCCTTCTTTAAAAATTACTCTATTCCAATGATGGAAACAAGACATTTAGCATATAAGTTGAGACAGTCTACATGCTGATTTTGATTGTACAATTAACATTAATCCTTATAGAAAATTAATAATTGAGGTATCAAACACACTTAACATCCAGTTGTGACTGAATTAAGCACTTATGCTTTGCTGTTATATCTCGGCCACAGACACTTGAATTTTCTACTGTACAGGAATTTAATCGAACTTGACCTCTGTGGTACACTAAATTGTTCATCAACAGACAAAGTTATTGATGGAGTTTTTGAAAGGTCAGGAACAGTTTCATTGACTAAGCTGACCATAGTAACTGAATGAAAACTTAAGATGAACAGTTGAGAAATCTGTGCTGGAGAAGAAAAGATTATGACTATGTGAATATATGGAATTTAAGCTAAGAAATTATTATTGTATTAGCCAAACAGTTCTCGGCTTGGAAGAAGCCACTTGTAACAAATATGGTCTGATATCATAACCTGTGTGCTGTGTTGATAGCACATCATTATGACATTTAATGGCTGTGATTAGTATTACACACTTTTTTGTCCAATATCTTATATTTTGCTAAATATTCCACAGTCTTATTATTTTATTACCTGTTGATCTGATACGTATACTGCATACGTAAGCAGACAAAATGAACTACCTGTAATTTTATAATAAATAATAGACTAGGCATATAACAAGTGATTGCCCATTGGCATTATATAGTGAAGGGGGACATTTCTAGGCACAAAAATACTGATTAAAAGTTACATAAACTGCAGAATTTTTAAAATGTTCTTGCATATTCCAGGCTAGAAGATTAAGAGTATAATTTCAGTTTTATGTCTGCACAAGTATTGAGTTTTCTTTCAGTCCAACATCACAACTCATCATCTGGTGTTCATCTACAACAGCCAATAAGAAATGCTGTTTTATGTTTAGTATTATGTGTGCATGTCTTATTTGTCATCAAGGTAGCAGTATATTTTCAAGACTTTTTGTCTCTTTACTGATAAAATGAGCCAAATGCAAAATAAATATTGACATATTTAATAATTTGTTAGTTTGTTGAAATTTCTAAATAGAAACACTCAGCACTTCTTTCATTAATGGTTATATTCTTCATCATTCCAATGAAATATTAGAATTTTATAACACAATTACAAATTGTGTACTTTTTTGCTAACTTTTTATGATCATTATGAAAGATTTTTTTTTCTCCTCCACATATAAAATAATTGTATTGTACAGTTTGATTTGGTGTTTATAGTGTTATCTTGTATCTATATTTGATCAATGTATTTTTTTTATAAGCATCCTGGAATTTTTCAAATTGTTTTCCTGGATACTCGTGGACAAAATTTTTTTTGGAAGCATGGAAATCTTATTTATACAAACTATTACTTATAGTAGTTAATTAAATGACATTGGTGAAATATATGTTCTGTTAAGTCAGAAAAATATAGCATTGTCTTCATGATAATCCTACTACAGCTTTCTGTAAAGTTCTTACAAGGTATATTTGTACAGATGTTCTCACACTTTTGTTAGAAATTTCAGTGTGAATGATTAGTTGTTAAAAATTTATTTTCATTCAAAATTATGAACTATTTTTATATTATTAATTTCTGGGGCTTTTTTTCCTAAGATGTTTAAAGCATTCCAGTTGCATGATGCTAAAATCTTTCTAAAGTTACATGTGTAGTGTTTTAAGAATTTAAAATGATAATAAGTATAAAAGTATAGTAATTCTGAAGAGTAGACCTGATTCAAAAGTTTATAATGAATGTTGAAGGTGAAACTTCTGTATACTTGGGTTTAAACTAATGTATATAAACACATGCAAGAGAAGTGCTTACAGTTTATCTGCCTGTCAGGTATAATATTTGAAACTGGTGTTATTCCATTTTCATTACATAAGACGTTTCAAGTTGTGTCTCATTTTCTTTACACAGAAGAGGTACTGGTGCTTTTACTGACTGCCAAGTGAAAACAGAAGAAGGAGAAACGAAAACTACATACAGTTTCAGAGAAACAGACAACCGTTTGAACAGGATGAAACAACAGGCAAAATCTGTAGAGGCTGCAAAGAAAACCAAAAGCAGTGTTTCACTTGGTAAGTGGCATTACTCTTGTAAAAGTAAAAATAAAATCTAAAATGACTTTGCTGCCATTTCTCTCTTTTATTTTTCTGTGTCTTATGTTTTCTCGGGAAAAATGTGTGTATGTAGTTTTAATTGACTGCTAAAACATAATTACAGAAAGAATCTCTAACAAGAAATTCTCTGGTTTTAGGAGGTATTAATTTGAAAAAATGTAGAGCTTCAGCTCAATTTTAATATTACTTTCAATAATAGTAGCAATAAATATCATTGGACATTGTTTTGTATATTTCGTTATTGTATTAACAAATCTTCAAACTGTTTCTCTTTTTTTATCTAAACCATGCTTCCATTATAAGAAAGCCAAAATATTAATTGTAGATTATGTTATTAACATCGCTTCATCAAAGCAAAAGAAATACGTGTAGTTAAAACAATGTGTAAAGCCATTAAATTATGTTCTTTGATGGGTTTTTTTTTTGTGCTAAATCTAAAACTTTTCTAAAAACTGCTCGAAATAAAATAATTCTAGTTTTAGTTATTTAATGCTCTACAAGACTTTGTGGTAGTAAAACAAATTGTTTAAATTTATTACATTAAAAAAAAGGAGATAAAGAAAATGTTTAGAAAAATTCTTGTATCTCCCATTCTCATAATGTAAAAATTGAATTATTCTGTTAGATGTCAAGTGAATGTTTTTCTTAACTATATATATGGGTGTATAACTCAGTCTTAAGAAATTTTCAAGGTCAAACAATTAGTTCCAATCTCCCAACTTCAAATTTTTGGTACTAGTATTTAAAAAAACAGCTTAGGTAGAAAATAAAACTTTATAAATCCAGATTTGACTTTTTTAATCATTTATATATATATATATTGATTTACTGTATTTAGTTTCAGTTCCTCTACTATTCTGTTGACTTTCTTCTAGCTCTTTTCCTAGTTAAACTAAGGTTGAATCCATAGAAGCATCATGTCACACATTTAATAGTTTGTTTGTTTTTTCAGTTTTGTAGCTGTCAAAGCATTGAGTTTTACATTTTTGATGTGTTTGTCTATTGGTTTTCTCTTTTTCTGAGGTTATTGTATAAGTCTACTAATGATTTTTCTTTTGGTTTTTAAGAATCTAGAGTTGACAGTAAGCTCCAGCACTCCACACTGAAGGAACTTCGTAAGAAAGGCCTCACCCATTATGATGCTCAACTCTTACTTTCACGTGGTTACAAATTCAAAGACCCTAGAGTTGTCCTTTCACCAAGAAAAAATACAACTCGATCTCACCAGAAGTTTTCGGGTGAAAATGGAATTTATTATAAAAACTTTCACATCCAATCAGATAAACCTGAAAGAGAGTGTTATAATTACCAACATAAACAGAAATATTGTAATTTTGAAACTGATCTTGAAAATTATAGCATTTGTTTAGACCACCCTCATCAATACAGTTTTGAAAGCATTGCTCCAGTGAATGAAATGAAAGAGAAACTGAGTGGAAAGCTGAGAGAAAACCATGCTTGTTTTATAAGTACAGATTTTTCTGAGTGCAAAACTTTACTTACAGAAAACATTGTTAGTCTTTCTTCTTCATTGTTAACTGAGCAGGAACAGAAAGAATCAAAATTTTCATCAGAAAGGCATCATAACAGCAAGTTATGTAACAACATTGAATCCGAGGACATACCTGAAAATGAAAAGAATGGTTTATGTGCCATTGAAAATCTGGAAAAAAATCATTTCTCTAATAATGTCAACGAATATGAAGAAGCTGTTTCCAAACTCTCCATTTTGGAAAAACGAAATGGACTTGTGTGTTTGAAACAAACTGAGCACTTCTTTGAGCATTCAAATTCCAAAGTAGAAACAAATCTCAATAATTTATGCAAAAGAATCAAACGTGAAGCTTCAAAAGGTTCAGATTATATCAATACCGCTTCTAATGAGAGTCCAAAAGATACATCATTGTCAAAGGTAAATACTAGAAGACACTCTGTATATCCTTCAGTGGATTATTTGGATGAAGAATCATTTAGTAGCATATCATCTTCTAGTAGTATTCAAGAAAACAAATCACATAAACTCAAGACATTTGGAGGTTTACCTATGAATTCCATGTACAAAAAGATGAATGACAACTTATCCACATCTAACGAAGGTTCTTTATCGTTGCCTTCAAAAAATATCCAGGAACACAAGAATAAAATCTGCAAGTTGGATGCTTCTGTAGGGACAGACCTTCAGGTTTTGGACTCGGTAGTTCAGGTGGGAGACGATGCAGTCAAAGCAGGTTTTGTTAGTTTAAAACCAGGCGAATCTGCAAATAGTGAGTCGGCTAATGATTATTGTAATGACAAACAGCAACTTGGGAAACATAAGGCAATTCTACAGCAAGTTCAAAGACATCCAACTCGAAATAAATGTGGTATCTCAACAAGATTGAGATCATGGGAAAGGAGAAATTGTCACAGTGTTTCATCTGATACAGACTCTGAACTTTCATATCTATCAGAACTATCAGTCATTCCCAAAAGATATTCTGTTTCTCAAGATTCAGAGGCTCTTAATTATAAACATTCTGAAAAACTTGGACAAATGATGGAACAAACAACTCTAGATAATCTTGTAGATCTTAGTTCATCAAGTACTGACCAAAGAATAACACGATCTGTTACAAAAAATTGTAATTTTAACTTAAATCAGAATTCAAATAATGGCTTGGAGAATATTTTCATTGATGAGTTCAGTTGGGTTCCTTCTGATTTAGACTCAGTTCATATTGGTGAAGAACACAGTGAACAATTAAAATGGTTAAAAGACGAAAATCTAGTGTGTGTTGAAAAAAGTAAAAACAGAATAGTCAGCCCAATATAGTGACTAAAAAAGTAATTCTTCAAAAATTAGATAGAACTACCTGTAAAAACCAGTGTGTACTAACACCATCATCAAACTCGTATACACTGCCTCCTAATAAATATGTTGATACGACTTCAGATATTTCAGAAAACAAAATTCCAATTCAAAACATTACTACAAATTTGAACAGTAAGAACAAATTTGAAAGTGGCAATAAACATTTGCCAAAACTCAATGAGCAGTTGATTTCAAATAAATTTAAGGAAGCTTTACTCATAGGTTGTAGTAAACACTCACTTCTTAGAGAATACTTAGAGAAATCATCTAGTTTGAAACAAGATAATCTCTCAAGTTATTTTCCAACTAGAAAAGGAGCTGGGTTTGTGTCTTCAGATTCTATTCATTGTGTAAAAGAAAATAAGAATTTGTTGCTTTCTACAGAATGTATGAACAATGAGAGTATTGCATCTAGGTTAAGAGGGCCTTCAGGAAGACTGAAGAAAGAAAAAAATGAGTCTAGTTTAAATACATTGTATGGAGTGTCTAACAGTCAGCAACTCAATGAAATAGAGACTAATCAACTCAATAATTGCATCCAAAACCTAGACTTTTTATCAAAGAACTGTACCTTGGAGCAACCATTGGTCAACAAAACATGTCATTATAATCAATATAATGGTATAGATCTTGGTAAAAAAAATAAACAAATCCAATCTAATGGAATTGGTTTTACACAAAAACCATTGAAAAATGTCAACCAAAATTTGTTAAGAAGTTCATTTGATGTAAATCATAATGGTAAGCAAGAAATGGAAGCAAACAACTGGGCACTAGCTGATGTTGCAGAAAGTGGTGTTAAAAATGGAAGTGGAAGAAATTCTTTTATTAACCTAGATCATGTACAGTGCAAAAGAAAACGGAGGCACTATAGAATGAATGAAAGTAACAACAGTAATGACAAGTCAAACAGCTGCCAGTCTTCTTCTGAAGGCTGTTTGAAATTGACAATTAGAGTAAAAAGAAATCCAATCATTGAAGAACATATTTCTGTCAATAAAACAGAACTCTCTTCTTATTCTGTAAAACAAAACATGGTGTATGAAATCCTTCCTAGGAGTAGTAGAGATAACCAATGGGGCTCACCATCAACCTTCACAAAGAAGAAGAAGAAAAAGAAACACAAACAAAAGAAGAAAAAGAAAACAAAAGAAAGGAAATACAAAAAGTCACACATGGCATTACCTTCATCAGAAGTTAAATTGTGCTCTGATGATGATGGTAGTACTAATCATTTGTGTGTATCAAGTGGTTGTAAATTTCACAGTGGTTCTTTTTTCTCATCATCATCATCTTTAATAGTGTCCCCACGGAAACCTGGTACAAAAAGATTTAAACTTATTTTAGGAAATGATTCAATTAATATTGACATTCCTTCAACAAAAATCAGGAAGTGTGATTAACGAGTCTTTAATTACTTTGTCCAATTAACCCTACAGACTAGATCTCACTTTTCTTTATTCTAAAGTGTATTGCTACTGAAAGTAATGTTGCCATCTGTACAGATTTTTGTAAATTGTTACAGTATTTAATATTTCATCAGTCTGTGTGAGGTGGTTCTCTGTTAATGAAACAGCACTGCCACATTGTTCCTTACTGCAGAAGTATGGTAAAATGTTATAGATGGTATTTATGAATAATAGAGTTGTTTGTAAGTAAATCAAAGAAAATCATGCTTTCATTTTCCACATATCTGTACAAAATGTATGTAAATGTGTGTGTGTGTGTGTGATAAGTTGCATTGTTCAGAACAGGAGTTGGATTATTTTATTTTCTGTTCTATAAAGTAATTTTGATATTGAGTATAGGATTGTAAATAATGTCTTTTTTCCTTTTTTTTTTCTTACATGATTTTAATTTTCATTAGTTTATTTCACAAACTTTTTCCTTTTGAGAAGAAGCAAAGTATTTTGATAAATAAAACTGAAACATCAATAAAATTTAGTGAAAGATGACCAGTTTTAATGCAGTTTTTCAATACATTCACTTAATTAAAATAGTGGTTCCCAAACTTTTTGGTTTGAGCTCTGGCTGAGAGCCCCACTTAATTATGTTTAATAATAACCACTCTGAAGTACTACTTTATTTTCATCACAATTTGTTTTTTGAAAAACGTTGTAGTCGTATATATTATAATAAATAAAATTATCGGTCTAAGTATTACTTGTCCAGTGTCAGGGAAAGTTTAAAGAGAGTATTTCTACACATGATAAGCCCGTCTTTGCAAACCCAGTTTGGGAACCACTGAGGAATAACATTATATTGTATATACATTCAGTAAAACTATGGGTTGATAGAATAAACATTTTAATGTAAAAAGTATCTCAAAAAGTTGGGGAATATTGGACTTAATGAAACGATTTGGTGTATCATAACTCCATCTTGAATAAAATTGCAATTCATTGTCAATTTTCATGTAGCATTACTCCAAATTGGGAATTATAAACCTATACCGTGTATCACGACTCCATCCTGAGGCAAATAGTTCTTGTTTAACTATTGTAGCCTGTCTCCAAGTTGAAGTATATTGGTAATGGTGAACTGATGTGGTGCATCAAGGCTTCATTCAGAAAAATTGTTCTTGTTTAACTAATGTCATAAAGCACAACTCCAAGTTGGGAAGTATTAATAATAGTATACTGATTTGGTGTATTACGACTTCAGGTTGGGGAATGTTAGTCAAATTATATCAATCTTGATGATAATTTTTCGTATTCAAGTATTATGACATAGCAAGTTTTAAGGTTGGAGAATAGTCTTTGTGAACTTCTGGTATATCATGACACCATCTTGAGAAAATTGTTTTTGTTTAAATAATGTAAGTAGCATAACTGCAAGATGAGAAATATTGATAAAGGTGAACTGATCTGGTGTATCATGACTACATCTTGTGCAAAACTGTTCTTTCGTAACCAACGCCAGGTGGCATGACTCACAGTTATGGAATAGTAGTGTGTCACGAGTTTATTTTAAGAAAAATTGTTTTTGTTCAAGTAATGTCATGTAGCATGATCTCATTTTGGGAAATAGTAACAGTGATTCAGTCTGGTACATCATTACTCCATCTTGAGAAATATTGTATTTTTTGAGTAATGTCATGCATCAGGTCTCCAAATTTGGAAATATCAGTCATAAAGAACCACTAGTTAATTAACACTCCATATTTAGAAAAATTCTCTTAACTAATTTCATGCAGCATGACTCCAAAGTTGGAATATCAACCATAGTGAATTAATGTAGTGTGTCATGACTTCATCTTAAGGAAAGCTTTTCGTGTTTAAATATTATCATGTAACATGATTCCTGGTTTGGGAAAAGTCGTGGTAAATTGATCCAACATCACGTATCCATCTCGAGGAAAATTGTTATTGTTTTAATTAATGTCACGTAGAAGGACTGTAGTTATGAAATATCGATCATGGTGAACCAATGTGTTGTATTACGACTCCATTTTAAGAAAAAATAATAATTGTTCAAATAATATCATGTAGCACGATTACAGGTTAGAAAATATTGGTCAAGGTGAGCAATTCTGGTTTATCACGACTTCTGAAGAAAATTGCTGTTATTTGACTAATATCACTTAGCGCAATTCCAAGCTGGGGAATACTGGTCATAGTGAATCGATGTTTTGTATAATAATTCCATCTTAAGGAAAACTGCTCTTGTTTAATTAGTCATTTAGCATGATTCCACTTTGGTGAATATTCATCATGGCGAATTGGTGTTAAGCGTTTCTTAAGGAAAAGTGTTTTTTTTTTTATTAGTAAATATTAAGTAGCACGAGTCAAAAATGGAAAATATTAATCATGGTGAGCTGCTTTTATATATATATCACAACCCCCATTTAGAGGAAAATTCCTTCTTCTTAACTTATGTGATGTTTGGGAAATATTGGTAATAGTGAAACGATGGTTTTTATAATAATTCCATCTTGAGGGAAACTGCTTTGAGCACGATTCCATTTTGTATAATATTCGTCATGATGAACTGGTGTGACGTATTACGCACCTCTTGAGGAAAGGTTTTTTTTTTTTTTAGTTAATATTATGTAGCATGACTTAAGTATGGAAAATATTGGTCACGATGGACTGCTGCGATATATCACAGGTCCATTTTGAGGAAAATTCCTTTTATTTAACTGATATCATGTAGCATTATTCAACATGGAGAATATTTACCATGTTGAACTAATATAGTGTATAGCAACTATATTTTCAAAAATTTGTCCCTTTTTAGGCAATATGATGTAGCATGATTCCAGGTGAAAATTGAAAAATGTGTAAATTTGCCAAGTCTTTCTTCAGAAAAGTTTTTCTTGTTTACCTAATGTCTCCAAGTAAATGAATATTAGCAATGGTGAACCGATGTCTGGTGTCACAACTCCCTCTTGAGAAAATTCGTTCTTGTTTGAGTAATATCATAAAATGTAACTCTAAGATTGTTAATATTGGCCATTATAAACTGATGTGATGTATCAAAAATCCATCTTGAGGAACATTGCTCTTTTTTTAACGAATGTCACGAAGCATAATTTCAAGTTAAGAGTCAATATAGTATATCATGAAGCCATCTTTAAGAAAATTGCTCTTTAATTAATTTCATGTAGACGATTACAAGATGTTGAATATCAGCCACGGTGAAGTAATGTGGTGTATCACGGTTGCATTTTAATTAAAATTGCTTTTGTTTAAGTGATATCATGTAGCATGATTCCAAGTTGGGAAGTACTGGTAATAGTGAACTCGTATTCTTGTTTAATTAATATCATGTACTATGATTCCAGGACAGAAAATTATCGTCACAGTGAGCAGATCTGTTGTATGACGATTCCATATACAGAAATTCGCTTTTATTGTTCCAGTATGGTTTATAACAACTCCATTTTAAGAAAATTCCTCTTGATTAACTAATAGCACAATTCCAATTTGGAAAATGTTGGTTGTGGTGACCCAGTGTTGTCTATACCGTTTCCATGTCAAGAGAATTGCACTTGTTTAACTTAGGCTATGTAGCATGATTCCAGGTTCGATAATATTCATCATGGTGAACTTATGTAATGTAGCAAGACACTAGTTTGAGGAAAATTATTACTTTTTAATTAATATCATAAGGTAGGGAGTATTGGCCATGGAGAACCGATGTATTGTCCAGGACACCATCTTGAGGTGAATTATTATTGACTAAGTAATATCAAGCAGCACGATTTCAGGTTAGGAAATATTGATTGTGGCGTTCCAAATTGGGTTAAAATTTGTCTCTTTTTGACCAATGTCATGTTGTAAAATTTGAGGTTGGGGAATATCAGTCACAATGAGTAAATATATTGTATCACCACCCCATCTTTGAATAATAAACAGCCCTAGTGAACTCATATGACATATCACAATTTTCTACTAAAGAGACAATTGCTCTTTTAAATTAATGTCACGTAGACGACTTCAAGTTGTGGAATGTCGGCCGTGATGACCTGTTATGCTGTATCATGACACCATCTTCAAGAAAAAATAACCTTGTTCAACTAATTTCACGTAACATAACTCTAGCTTGAGTAACTTTGGTCGTGTCGAACTGGTGTGGTGTATCAGTATTTCATCTTGTGTAAAATTGTTCTTTTCAAACTAATGTTGCACAGCAGAACTCAAAGATGATTAATAATTCAATGGTGAGATGATCTGTTTGTGTACTATGATTCCAGCTTATGGAATATCAGTCATTGCGTGCCAGTGTGGTGTATCACACCTTTTTAAAGAAAAATTGTTCTTGTTTTAATTAATGTGTTTATTGGTCATGGGGAAGTGAAGTGATGTATTATGATTCCATCTTAAGGAAAATTACTCTTATTTAAAATTATTTAGCAGGCTCGGAAATATTGGTCTTGGCGAAATGATATACAATATCATGACATCATCTTGAGAATAATTGTTCTTGTTTATGTAATATCTTGTAGAACGATGTTAGACTGGGGAATAATCCTAGTGAACTGATCCGGCATATAGCGAATCCATGTTCATGTTTAAGTAATGTCATGTAGTACAACTCAAAGTTGGGTAATATTGGGCATTGTGATTTAATGTGGTGTATCACGACTCCAGCTTCTGGAAAATTGTGTTAGTTTAACTATTGTAAAGTCACAACTCTAAGTTGAAAAATATCTTGTCACTTTTATTTTTTATATTTATTTTTTATTAATGTCACGAAGTACGACTCCAATTTTGAGAATATTGGCCATGGTGAATCGACGTGGAGTATCATTTCCATCTTCAGAAAAATTGCTCATATTCAACTAATTTCACATAGCTCAATCCCAGATTGAGGAATATTGTCAATGTTGAACCGATG